ATATAAAAATAATAATGTATATATCTGAAAGTGTTTATAGTAAGGGAGTTCCACAGGGTTCTGTTTTGGAGTTGACTCTTTGGAACATTGTTGCTGATTCTGCATTACAATTAGATTTTGATGAAGTAGTAGTCTTATAAACTTACAGATGACTTTGCATTAGTTATTCCAGGAAGCAACTAACTTGCAATTAAAGAAAAAGACAGAGTGGCTTTAGAATAAAATCCATCAATGGTGTAAAATAAACTAAACATTAATCAAAAGATTTCTGCGTTGAACTTTTCCAGAAGGCTTCCCTTTGAGCAGGCTACCTATGGTCACACAGAATAGAGTAAGGATTAAGAGTAGTAAAACACTCAAATATTTGGGAATTATTTTAGATGTTAATATAAACTGGCTGACTCACTTAGCAAAACTCAAGAAAAAATAAAATAAAATATTTGAAGTAGTAAATAAACTAAATAGGCTTATACACAAAGACTGATATAAGAATAAAAGTATACTGAAGGTGTTACATAAAAGATGAATTAAACATATTATACTTTAAGGAGCACCAATTTGGTGGATAGGTACTGAACAGATCAGAACAAAAATTCTTCAAAAAATTTCATTGCTTTCATTTTATGGGCTGCTACACAGCTGTTTCAATAAATTCACAAGTTCTGGCTGGAGTAGTACCAATAGACTTGACCTCAGAGGCTGAAACACAGACATACAAAACTTCACATATAGAAAAAGATATTCATTACCCTGATATAAATATTTTAAAAAGTGAAATTGATAAAAGGCTGGGGAAATATTTCCACCCACAAAAATTTCAGTCTCCTGGAAAATAAGTGCTCCTAGAGGAATAGGCCTGGAAATTTTAACTGATGGCTCTGTTACAGATAAGAGTATAGAAGCAGCTTCTGTAGCCTTTTCTGATAATGAAACATTTTTTGAAGAAAACATAGATTAAACCAGAATGCCAAAATTTCCAATGCTGAGCTTCATGCATTTGAAAAAGCAATTAATTGGGCTGATTGTACTGGATATAAAAGGTATATAGTTAATAGCATACATACAGCATTATCTTTGGAATTCATATAAACTATATTGCAGAAGAAAATTTTTAGAAGGTGGCAGCAAAGGTGAGCTTGTGATATGACTGGAAGGGACGCTCACAAGGTTCTACCATAAGTTGATGGAAAAAGATTATACTGTAGTAAATTGGTTCAAACCGTTAAAAATGGGTCATGCTTAATTTCAAAATATTTATTCGGATTTCACATTGTCTTTGTGGCCAGCCAGGCTACCTATCAACAAGTTTTCATTGTATATGGGGTTGCCTGCTCACAGAATCCACCAGGATAGAATATTATGGAAATATTGCAAAGGTCAATGAAAAGTTTCTATACGTGACAGAAAAGGCTAGACCAGCCAGGCTACCTATCAACAAGTTTTCATTGTATATGGGGTTGCCTGCTCACAGAATCCACCAGGATAGAATATTATGGAAATATTGCAAAGGTCAATGAAAAGTTTCTATACGTGACAGAAAAGGCTAGACTGTGTATTACAAAATAATAATGAACTTAAATAAATAAGAATATTTTATTCTTGGAGATTTGTAGAATACTGTCGAGTTAAAAACTTTTAGAAAGCATGAATTTTTGCTGTAAAGATTGAACTGTATTTAATTATTTTAAGTTATGATCATATTGATGTACTACTCAATCTTGTTCATGTGCACTATATTTGCTAATGCAGATAATGTATTTATTGTGAAACATAAGAAGTTTAATTAATGTTTTGATTTGCATTATGCTTGAAAACATGGATTATCTTTATACTGTGTGATAAAATAAATTTTAAAGTTATTATTAGTTTAAATGATTAGTAAAACATAAACAAAACAAAAGGAGTATCATCATTTATAATACAAATAATCGTTTTATAATGTAAATAAGTTAATTCATCATGACAAGTTTTTAAATAAATAGAAATATTATGATAATTTGTTGTTTTGAAAATAATATCGTTTAAAAACAAATTGTTAAGATAGCTGAAGCATTCCACATAATATGTAAGAGTTGTGGTTTCAAAGCGTTTCTACCAGACTGAAGATTTTCAGTCAGCAATGGTATGGCAGAAGTCTCTGTAGCCTGTAAAAATAACCTGTTTATGTGCAATACATACACCACCTCTTGTGTGGTACCCTCGAGTACATGCAGTTGATAATTCTTGTTGCCTGAATGAAACTATTTATATTTGTTTATGTATGAACTGCAATGAAACTATTTGTATTTGTTTTAGTATTTAAATTTTCTTACTGTTTGTATTTATTATTCTGAATAAAGGTCCAGATGACCCTATTGGCTAAGCCAATACATCTCAGAGGACGAGTAGAAGGATGAGCTGACCATTGTTGTTTAGTTGTCAGCCATCTTTTGGTTTAGTCAGTTTGTGTTGCCAGTTATGGCAGTTTGACAGTACTACCTTATTTTATTAGGTTATCACTGCTCTTGATGCCATGAAAAGAGTTGAAAACAAATGCAAAATTCATGCTTTGTAACTGATAATGCACAAAATACAGGAAAATGAGAAATAAAGTAGAAAATAATTCTCACTTTATATCATACATATGTTTAATTTATCGGCCAAAAATTTAAATATATCCAATGTTACTAAGCATGTTATTTAAGATGTAAAATGTTTTTGAAATCACTATATTGCCCCCACCAGACTGAATGAATACATTAGAATTGGTTTAAATACATTGTATGAAGTGTGTTGGAACCCATCATGTAACTTTCTTGAAAGCTACAGGAAGAACAGGCAAAGAACAATTTGTGGAAGAGAACTGGAACACAGTGCATAAGAATATTCAATCAAAAGTTCTCAGTATGGCAGTCAAATGAAATGCAGAAAATATTTCACTCCATTTAAAGCCAGTTTCAGTCACTTTAAATAAAACCAAGATAATTACAGCATTGCTGAAACTGTTGAAAAGATCTCGAAAAGAGCTTTAAAATTTTTGATAAAGCAGGGATAAAACTATTTAAAAAGTGATATGAACAAGTACTGTTATAAACATACTTTTTATCATGTATGTTTTTTCCACCACAATATAAAGCTAAATCTTTAAGAGGGAGTGAAAAGAAACAGGCATTGTAATTATTAAAATAAAGGTAAGCAGACAGTGTTTTATCCAAACTTACATTGAAATCTATAATTCACTCTGTGCCTTTCCGTGAAACCCTTTTTGAAAATGAGTCAAGTATTAAGCATTTAATTCATGAAGCAGTCAAAAGTATGGGAAAGAATTAGATATCCCTAAAATGTTAAGCATAGTGATAGCTTCATCAGCAAGGACTGAATGTTTCTTATTTTTAGAATTATACATAACAAATTAAGAAATCAGTTAGAAATTTAAAAGGAAGAGCAATTTTGTTTAAGCTTTGAATGCAAATGGCAATAGTGGAAAGATGTCATGAACTGTTTCAAAAAAGTTATGCAATTAATGGATATAAGTATCTCTGCTATTTTTACATTTAAGTTTTAGACTGCTCATTTGTATTAATATAAACCAGGGTTTTTGTTTTGTTGTATGTGTACCTAAGTTTATATTTACTCTTTATGTTTGTTTGGGCTAAAAAACTGCAAAAACATCTTATTGTTTTTGTACTACTAATTAATAAAATTATGTACAGTTTGTTATCTTTAATTATTACCTTAATTCTCATTTAAATATGTATTACACTTCTGAATATAATCAAATTATAGATTATTTTGAAAATCTTCAATGCATGGTAATCATTTAAAGTCAAAATGTCTAGTTTAAAAATTAAAAATCTAATTTTTTTTTATTACTGTTATACAATAGAAGTCCAGAAATCCACAAAGCCTGGGACCAAAGGTTGTGAGGATTTTAGGACAGAAAAGATAAATCATAATATTCAGACTAAGTGTGCAAAATAAATAGGCATATTTATATTTAATTAATTATTATAACATTATTGCAATAACTTATTTATGCATTAAAATTATTATACATATAGAAAACTAATATATTATTCATTGTATTATATGAACACAGCATCAAGGTTTGCCGATTTCGCCTCATGCAAAGATTTCCAGTTTCGGATTCCGGTGTTAGAATCACTGTTGCTGTAAAATTTCAACAGCTTTATTTTTGCCTGTATCATACACAATCGTGTCACAATTCCATATGATTGTGTTATAAACCGAGGAGTAGCACCTGCCTCGCTCTTTTGCAGAATTTGCACTTTTTACATTACCGTCAATGCAACGTTTATGAGTGCGTGACTTTCCTGTCATTGTATTAAAAAGGGCTGAAATTTAAAATATTCTTAATATATCCACAAAACATCCAGATAAAAAAAGGGCAGCACAAAATAATCACGTGAAATAACAAAGCTCAGAAAATACATAACAACGTGAATCGTGAACTTGAAAGAAGAGTTGAGTGAATCATCTGCTTTTTTACCTCGATGCAGATTAGAGTGGGAAAAACTTTTATCATGATGTCAATAATTTGGTATTTCCGTTATGACTCATTATTATTTGGTAATTATGACGTGTATTATGGCAGGTGCTACTCCTCGGTTTATAACACAATCATATGGAATTGTCACTATTCGGTAAGTATTTTTTCTTTGAAAGTTTGTAATCAATGTTACGGTTTCCAGAACCTATAAATTGAATGTTTATATTTTGAGAGGCAATGCAGATTTCAGGAGTTGGCGGATTTCAAACTGACAGATTTTATGTATTTGACTGTATAAATAATCAGAACATCAATTTTCATCTTTTCCTAAGAACTCCACAAATCCGTCTACAAGAGAAAATACAATACACACTCTTTACTTCCAAAAGTTTACAAATCTTGAATTCAATTTCCCTTTCTGATTCCAGTATTTTAGTGAACTTTTCCAGTAATCACAAGCATTCAAACTCATACTGAATTCCTAATGAATATTTAAAAATTTAGCATTTACCTCTGCAATAGCTTGATATCCCCAAAAACAAGCATAGTGGAGTGGAGTATTTCCATGTTCATTCACTGCATTGATATCAGCTTTGTTTCTCAGCAACTAGAAAAATAATTTAGGTTTTCAACTTTGCAAACTTTCTAAAAAGATAGCTAAAACTATAAAAGCTATTGAAAAATATAGATATTAAGCAATGCATATGAAATGGACTCTGTGATAAGCAAATCTTTCAAAATATTACTCATCTAAGATTAACAAAGATTAAAAATAAAATACAGCGTGCGACTCAAGAATTAACCAAAGTGTTATTTGCATAAAATTAAGTGCTTAACAAATAAAATCATGAACAGAGTTAAAACTTAACACTTACACTGTGAAAGTTATAGGTTTGCCTACATGCATGATAGCTACATTCTTAGAGTAGACTGGTAGATTTTAGCATGGCATGACCATAAAAACACATTTTTATAACAGCTGGTGATTTAGGCACAAGATTTCCCCCCCTGCAGTCATGTATCCTAATTAAATTATCTTATCTAAATGAACTTATCATGAAATGGAACATTTGGTAGTGTACACTGCAATCTAGTACTCCATTAAAAATGATATAATGATTCTGTGCACTAAAGCAGATGATGGAAAAAAAAAAAAACATCTGTACATAAATCGTAAATAATCTGTACATCTGCACTAAAAAACACCTGCTTTAGGCTTAAACTAAGCCTTTTTCGACAAGAGAACATAAATGAGAATTGATACATGCTTTTAATAAATTCCAATGCTCATTTATTTTCTTAGACTTCAAAACATAACAGCTATTGTCATTCATAACATTTCTCACTGCACTGCATGTAAAGTAATAATTTTTATATGCACAACAATCCAAACATTCCAACTAGATTCAAACATTTTAATATTAAACAAACAAATTGTGAAACCAAAATGTGCAATGAAATTTTTGTTTCTCTTCTCCCTCCTCTTTTTAAAGCTGAATATACACTGCTCGACATTGAAAATGCAACACCTAGAAAGAGTGGTCAGAAAGCGATGAAATTTGGAAAAAGGACAAAGACAGTAAGCAGCAATAAGTGATCTTTATTTCAAAATGATAGACAGAATACAAAGCGAGAATGGCGTTGGCTCAGTAGGATGTAGGACCACCGCGGACAGTGATGCATGAAGAAACACGTCTAGGCATAAAGTGCGAATGGTGTCTTGAGGGATGGCTCTCTATTCCCTTTCAACCATTTGCCTCAGTTCGTCTTCTGAACGAGGCAGGGGCAGAGTCTGCAAATGGCGTCAGATCTCATCCCACACATGTTCGATTGGTGACAGGTTAGGGGAGTACGGTGGCCAGGGAAGCACCTGCATACCTTGCGGAGGATGTTGGCAGATGCGAGCACTGTGTAGTCGGGCGTTATCCTGCTGAAAATTTACATTAGGCAACACCTGAAGGTAGGGGATTGCCACCGGCCGCAGTACATTATCCAAGTATTGTTGGGCCTGAATACGAACTAGAGGTAACCTGGAATCGTAGGCAACAGCGCCTTAAACCATTATGCCACATTGTCGTTCCACAGTTACTGCCGGATTAGATGTCTCCACATCGATGCCACACATGTACGTGGCGACTGTTACTGGATAAACAGAAGCATGACTCATCTGAGAACTCAACGTTTCGCCATTCTGTCATTCACATTGCTCCAGTTCGGCACCATTCTAAAAGTTGGCATCTATGCTGTGGGGTCAATGGCAGTCTTCTTAACGGACACAGTGAGTGCAGGCCACATTCAACCAATCGACGGGAAATGGTTCTGGTCGACACGGGAACATCCAGGGTATCTTGCACATGCTGCAGAATCGCGGTACAAGTGACTTGCGGGACCACCACAGCTTGTCGGGAGATATGCCGATCCACGCGTGCTGACGTCACTCTGGCTGCACCTGCACCCCTCCTTCATGTTCGTCCATAGCCGAATGCACCGTGCTCGCATTCCATGTGGGTATGAGCTGTGATTTGATGGAAGGACCAACCTGCCCTTCTTAGTCCGATCACATTACCCCTCGTAAAATCATATCCGCTGGAAGTGCCTTCATTGTTGGTGGCCTGGCATTCTCTCCTATTGCACATATCCTCCATGACAAAAACCAACTTTCTTCGATAATTCATCTGGCAGAAATAACAAGACGAATATTGCCCATTCTGCACGTTCCTTCCCTTATATCTTACTTCCGTTGCGTCAGAGAGCTGCGCATTTCACATAACTCAGTTCTGTGCGTCTACTCTAAAATTTGCATAAATTTATGACCACTCCTTCTTGGTGTTGCATTTTCAATGTCGAGCAGTGTAATATTTATAAAATAATTTTAGAATATTCATGCTTTAGAGAGAAAAAATGTAAAAAACATGTAGATAAATTTTAATTTACTTAATTTTGTATTTAATCAAAATTAAGATTCCCTTTACACTTTAGGTTAAGGAATAAAAAGGTAGGTGAATATTTTGATGAGGGCATGGTTCTGATTAGAACTGATTCATTTCTATTCATATTTCTATTCATATTTCAAAGCTACCTAATTAAATAAAATACTTTACTATGGTATAGAAAGAATAATTAAGAAACATTAATGATACATTACCTCTTAGTTTTCAAGCATGTCAATAACCAGTAGCAGATATAAACCTAAACTGAAATTGCTCAACCAGACTTGGCTATCATAATTAGCAATAGTTATACAGTTTATATACATGAAATTACCTCTTGCAGTTTATTAATCACCTAAACAGTCGAATTATTCTATACAGTACAAAAATTTTTTTATATATGTCAAAGAAAATATATCACAATCTGAATCAATGAATGCAAACAGACATTTGAGGTTCATTTTATCTCATCCTACTACTTTGGAAAGTCACAGCCATTTGGGAAGGGGTGATCAGTAAAACAAATTACACAGAAGTTTCTATTTGGATAAATTTAAATCTTTTGTCACTATGTACAGTCTAGTAAAGTTTTCTGAAAAGATTGAAGATTTAATTTTTACCATTCTTAATAACTTACACATATTAAACAAGATTATGTTAATACTATAATTGTTCATAGCAGCTATGATGCACAAATAAATAAAAATTTTGCATTTTAAACAGAAACATAATAATAAGCCAAAACGTAATCCTAAACAGCATGCAAAAGAATACTCACTATTGCTGAAGCATTACATGTAATATATGCTTAATGCAGATTAATATTTTTCTAAGATTTTTTTAACATACCATGTGAACTATATCCCTATGTCCATGAGCAGAAGCTAAGTGAAGTGCAGTATCATCTCCCATGTTGGTTGCATTAATCCTGGATCCTCTCATAATAAGCATTTCAACAATGTTAGCTCTTCCCTCTTTTGCTGCCCAGTGCAGTGGACTAAAACCATGATCATCTCTTTAAAGGAAAAATATATGTGTATATATGCATATTATATATAAAATGGAAAAGAAAATTTTAAAACATTCATAAAGCAACATTATCATCTCTCTCATGTAATGACAAGCAAGATACAAACATTTTAATTTCATAAATGTGTAATAAAAAAATATTTCTGAATTTAGATACTAATTTTTATACAAAAAATACTAAAATACATATTTTGAATTATAATTATATTAATATACTAGTCTTCAAGACTTAAGCAACTTTGCTAGTTTGGATCAACTCAAAGACAGAAATTCAAGAAACAAGTCAAGAAACTATGAGATAACTCATATTGGGCATGCTGAAGAAAAGTACTAATACGAGTTATCTCGTGTTGGGCAGTCAACGTGTTAAAGCATGAAGAAAATATAGTTTAAAAAAAAAAAAATAGGATGCATACACAGATTTTACTAAAAAAGGCTTTATTGACAGAATGGCATTGGTACAAAAAAAAAAAAAACTGTCTACCTAGACGGGAGGGGAAAAAAAAAAAAAAAAAAGTTCCTTAGTAAAGGATATGACCTTCCCTAACTGCAGTGGCTGCATTGCACTGTCTATTGATACTCAACATCAGATGATCTAATAGTTCTTTAGGTAAGATATCCCATTCTTCAAGCAGCATCTGTTTCAGTTGTCTGCTGCCTCCTAGACAGTAAGATCGCTTTGAAACGCATCTCCTTAAAGTATCCCACATATTTCAACATGATTTAAATCAGGGAAGGATGTTGGCCAATCCATTCACTGGATGTCTTCACTTTCCAGTAGCTCCTCAACAACATGAGTCCTGTGTGGCTATGCTTTGTCATTCATACCAATCACACATTCGAAAAGATGCACATGGGGTAGGATAACTGTGATGGGTTGGATAACTTCATCACAGCAACAAGCTATGGTAAGTAACCTGCGTCGAAAACGTGCAGCTTTTTCAGTCCATTCATCATAATATCTCCCCATATAAAGATGCCAGGATCACTCCAGCAGTCTCTTTCCCTGAGGTCAGTGACACAAAAGTCTGTCCCTACCTCTCTCTAACTGAAACGACTCTCATCAGTAAAAAGGATGCAACTCATTTTTGAAATTAACCTTTCACTTCTCTACATCACTGTGAATAGTCCCCCCAAATAGGCTGCTGTCAGTGGTATGTAGTATTCAGGATGGCGAAGCAAATAGGCTACAGTAAATATACCTGTTGTCTGGTTGCCATGTGCAACTGCTGAGCAATATTGCCTGCTGTCTGATTTTGATCTCTTTTCACCTGTAGGACAATATACAATCACCACTGTTTTCCTTGACCAACCAACACAAACCTTTTTCATAGTTGTACCTTTCATTTGGAAGGCTTTCCAAGCTGGTGAAAAAAAAAAAAAAAAAAAAAAAAAAAAAAAAAAAAAAAAAAAAAAGCTGGTTTTTAGGTGAAACAAATGCTTTTATCACTTCCAAATTCTTGAATGACAGATGTCAAACTATGTCCCTCCTTAAGCTTGCCAATAATTATACCACATATAAAGGGGTCCTGCTGTTTTCTTGTAACAATATTGTAATCATAATCTCACTTGCAGGAAAAAAGGAATGCCTGGAAATGTACTGTCCTTTCTTTTTTAATTGCCTTGCACTGCATACTCTGATTCCCCCTGTTTTGCCTATCCCTGACATACCCTCTGATGTCATGGTGCTGATATATGCATATGCATACCTTTTTACTTAGTTGCCTTTTCATTGTACTGATTGCAAAAGGGCTTTTTCAAGAATTTCATGGCTGTATGCTAAAAAATGATTTGTTGCTCAATAGTTTATTTAAGACACTGTTTTTGCAAATACTGTATATTATTATTTTTCAAAAATATTCTACACTAATAGAAAATACCTTTCATAATTTATGAACATTAGGAGTAAATTTACTAACATTAAGGGTTGATCTTTGGATTATGGTAACTTGGCGATTTTTTGGCGAAAATTTGGCGACCAACTCTGCTACAGCAACCCTCTATTTTTTTTTTCGCCGCCATTTTGTCTTCACGAAGTAAAGACATGTTTCTTTTCTTTTTATTTACTGAACACTTTTTCCAACAATCTACTAGCTGAATTACACTTATGCTAGAAATTTTATGTAACAAAACTGCTTAATCATGACAAATATTAACTGCAAAATTGGGAAAAAGTGCACAATCGCAAACTCCTTGCGTGTTTTTCAGAATAGCACATACACATAAACCATTCACACGTCGACTTATTTTTACTTAAACATCCCAGAATTGCACAAAAATGGCATTGCACACTTAACTTTATCCATCTACACTGCTATTTTCTCATAAAGTTACAAAAATTTACACGAAAATGCAGGAAAATTTTCTTGGAATCTTTAAACTCGGTAAAAAGCACATATATGAAATTACCTCTGATCGCGAAAAAGTATATACCCTTTCCAAGGATGAACATTTCCACGTATAAAATAAATAAAATATCCAAAAAACTGTTACCTCTAAATTATCTATTATATTATGAACGTCAGCAACGAATTTCATACCACAAACATTACAAAATGGTTACAAACTTAGTGTCAAATATTTAAATTATTTCCATTGCACGTTTACTTCAACTGAAAACGTATACCAAATTCCTACAAACATAAAATTCACAAAATAACTATCATTTAATTAAAATATCACTAAACCATGGACACGTAAACTTATTTTTACTTAAAAAAAAATCCCAGAATTGCACAAAAATGGCATTGCGCACACTCTTCACTATATCCATGTACACTGCTTTTTTGTCATAAATTAGAAAAATTTCATGAAAATACTCAACATATTCTACTCAAACGTATTCCAAAATACTACAAAAAATATAACTCACAAAAATCACGATCATTAAATTAAAATAAATTAAATTAAAAAACACTACTTAAAATATAAATAAGCACATACATTAAATTAATAAAAATTAGATTACAAGCCTAATTACTTTAAACTAAATCATTGCTAATAACAATTTTCCAATAATACCATATTAATTTATTTACTCCTTACATTTAGAACAATGCATAAAAATAAAATCCTCAAATGATTAAAAATACTAACTTACCTAATCTTCAGAATCTCATTACGTGGCACGCACACTTCACTATTCACACAACACACAATGAAGCTTTTAATACAAAATAATATAGTACTACAGTTTTCCAAATTCCCCCCCCCTTTTCCGATTAAAGACCTGTAATTCGTCCATTAATGTCACATGACATATCTCATGATCTCTCATTTCCCTCACACAAAATAATGCGTAATCGGAACTGAGTACTTCTCACATTATTACCAGTCCTAGGTAGTAACCTTTATCGCCTCCAAAATGTCGACAAACTACCAGTTACCATATTCCAAAGATCAGCCACATTAAGTGTAAAAGCCCTTTCAGCAGAAGGACAAATCATGTTACGAATTAAGATTTTGCATTGCAATGGCATATTAATTATCAGGAGTAACTAACATTTTATATAATGCTTCAAACCATAACATCTGTAACCAGAATAAGAAGTTGAAGACCTAGCTTTCAGTGAAGCAAAACCTTTACATACTTTTTACTCCACATGAAATCTAAAGGTGGAAAAGCAGTCTATATACACATTACTGAGGAACAAGCTTATTTATTCTCCAACTACACACAAAATTCACAGAAAGCAAAAGAAATAAAACTTCACAATAATTAAATAACCAACTATAACAAATTAGTACAGTACCTCAATATTAAATATCATTTAATAATAATTTAGAATAAAAAATACATACTGTACAACTGATTTTACAACAGGCATTTTGGATATATATCACATTCACTGTTAAGGTAGGTATAGGAAATTCACCAGAAGCTGACTAACATGAAAATAAAGCACTAATACAGACCTCACCACACACTTAGCACATGATTGGCTATTAAGTGAGGCCACCACATCACGTACCTGTATGTCCTCAAAAATTATATATGCTTTAATTCCTGAAAATATTTGGGGTAAAGTGCACAATTGCCCACTTATATGTCACATATCGATGTGTACATGGACAAGTCAAGGAAGTGTGCAATTCTGATGTTTTTTTTTTTTTTTTTTAAGTGAAAATAGGTCGATATGTACATGGATACTGATTTTGTGCAATTCTTTGATTTGTTATTTTCAAGTTGATGCAGAATCGCCCACTTATATGGCACATATCGACATGTAAATGGACAAAGAGAGTGTGTAATGCCAAGTTCGTACAATTCTCCGATGTTTTTTGAAGTGAAAATAGGTCGATGGGTACATGGATACCGAGTTTGTGCAATTCTTTGACTTGTTATTTCCAAGTTGGCGATTTTGAGAAATGCACGAAGCAGTGGGTGATTCTGCTCTTTCCTCAATATTTGCAACTTAACACTAACATGCAATATTTTCCTTCTATAAGTGTATATTTTGAACATCTACATTACTACATTCCATTAGTTATGCTTGCGAAACATTGAGTACTATTATCAGCACATACATAAAAGATAGAATTGCATAATATAAACAATAATACAGAAATAACTTAAGAATAATACCACGATAGCATAGCACATTAATATCAAAATTATCTGACATACATATTTACACATAACCTTATATGTCCAAAAATAATCTGTAATAATTTTTCTTTTTGTGCATTAATAAAACTAGAAAACGTACATATCAAGAACAAATAAAAAGCAAAAAATTTCTTATTTATGCACATATCTACCACATCAGAAATATGTTTAGCAGTGACAGAATTCGATTATTTCGCACTAGTTTGGGAGAACTGGTTTCAGTTGAGTAAACTGGTTGTTAAAACTGAATGTTAATATTTATTCAGTCAATTTATACATACTTAGCAGTTAATTTTATCACTTACTTAGGTGATGAACTGCTTTTGAAAAACTTTTAGCCCAACTACTGATATTAATTTGTACATATGATAAAATATACCTAAAAATTTAATGTATTTTAACAACATATATACAGCAAAATTAATTCTGTGCAAAAGAATGATGTAAGTAATATTTTAGTGAAGTTTTATGAAACAGAAATTTAAATTTAGTTTTCTGAGTTAAATGTAAATACAGGAAAGTACATAACAGGAACTCAATTATGAAATAAAGTATTCAATCTCAAAATTTTTAGCAAAGCATACACTATGAGAAAAAGTGCTGAACTTCTTTAATCACCAGCACATGAATATTTAGTTAGCTTTTATATAAAGTGCAACGGTATATGAGGATATAAAATAAAGTGACAAGCAATTTTGCTTGCAAATTTTGATATATTCATATCTGAACATGCTACTAATATATTTAACATACATACTACTGATATGCCTAGTAACAAATTACGGCTAGCATGACTTCATCTAACTGACATAAGAGAGAGAGGGAGACTATTAACTTTAAAATTTGAGCCACTGACAACAGTTGCTTCGAGTAAACAAAGCCCCTCTGTCTGTATTTGCTCCTCATTTTCTTTATAAATTATTGATATTTCTAGAATCAATCCTCCTAAAAGGAACAAATTACCCTAAAGCAATATTTTTCAACTAGGACTGGCAGTAAGTAGAAAGTGAACCGAAGCATTGATTAATTTTTAGTAAATTAAAATATATAGAGAGTGAAATTAATTCTGAGCAAATAAATGATGTAAGTAATAGTTCAGAGAAGTTTTATGAAACAGAAATTTAAATTTAGTTTTCTGAACTAAATGTAAACAATACAGGAAAGTACATAACATTCAGTACTCAACTATGAAATAAAGTAGTCAATCTCAAAATTTTTATCAGAAGATATGCTATCAGAAAAGAGCTTAACTTCTTGTATCACCTGCACAGTACTTACTCAGCTTTTACATACAGTGAAAGTGTATACAAGCATATAAACTAAAGTGACAAGCAATTTACTTAGATTTTACGTACAAAATACATTGTGTTAGCCATGTATAATGTTACCTTGGAGAGTGAGATCATAATATAATAAATATCACGGGCTAAAATTTCATGATGTATAGATAACGGAATTAAACATTATTCACAAATACTAGAAGAAACAACATTTACCCTTGATTCAGATCGTGTTCAATGTCGTCGAGCCAAACACGAACTTGGAAAGCATTACCTTCTCGGCACCAGTGGAAGATATCCTCCATTTCTTTTATTTATTAAAAAAAAAATCTAATCTTCTGACAAAATAAGGCAACAAACACAGGAAAATCCAAATTACTAATTATAAGAATAATGACTGTCGTACTTATGTCGAAAAAATATTAAGGAACAAAAAGAATACTTGAGAATCAAAATTTAATCGAAAAATACGTTTAAAGAAACTTTGTCAGCAACATCTGTACACAGCAACTCTTGTTTCCGCCACTCCCATGTTCTCATCTCGCCATAAATGGACAGCGCTCAACAACATGTGGGCGCGATATGAATGTTGACACTATGCTAGACAGAAACAAACAAATTGATATCGATAAAAAAGTAAGGGTGAAAATATTTCAATGTATTATAAGAAGCTCTTAACAATGAGAAGTATACAGACATAAAAGCACATTTTCTTTAGAAAATGATTTCTACTTCAGATTTAATTTTTTTTAAATCCGTTTAAAATGGAAGAATTTAGCCGTCAAACTTTCAAACGACCAGTAGTTGTGTAGACCTCTTTGCGAAATTCCGACTAAATTTGCTGCTTAAAGTACTTTAACTGCTTAGGTATCTGCCCTTTTATTCAAGTATCGCTGCGACGTATCTAGTTTAATAACAAAATGCTACCGGAGCACTTGACGTAGGTAGTTCTGCAAATAAGTCCCTATAATGGGAAATCAAATACTGAGAGAAGAGAGGGGGTGTATAAACACAGGAGCTTTAAATATTGTAAGGCAATTCAGAACAAGAAAATAACAGAAAATGAGCTGGAATATACGTTCAAGCATAACATACATAAATTAAATTCATTCACTTCAGTGGATACTCATTAACGGATTTAGGAAAAAACGACGCTCACCTCTCCTAAGCACTGAAGGGTTTATTCCTCTGGAAAATTAATTATTTAGGAGCATGTTTGGAATACAGAGCAAACTCGCTTTTCTCATATGTACATATTCGTTTAGAAATTTTGCAAAGAGTTTTTGTTTTACTGAGTAAATATGAAAATGCTTGAACGTGTGTGCTTACTTTTAGCGGAGAGTTCGCCATTTACAGGAGAAAAGTGATACAAGAAAACCTCAAAATAGGTACGATTTATTAATACTTAACATCAAAAATTAAAACACAATACTGTAAGAAATGTTTAGATACGTTTAGACATTGTTTACTTATGGAGTCTGGCTTTACTTATCCCCGGACAGTGTACTTTTCGTAAGGAATGAGTCGTTATGAATTAGCTTGTACATACTGATCAAATAATTGTTTATTGGGAGATGAAGTTTCTATGTTTTTTAAGCAAGTCAGAGAACAGTTGAGAAATTCTTGCTGTCTGGTGACAATCTATCAACGCTTGCTGCATTTAATATTTTGGGCAAAATAGTAAACAGAAAATCAATAAAATATTTCCTTAGTTTGCTTGAATATCCATCAAGGTTCAGATTTTGGTAATTTTCTTTCCTTCTATGTATTACTTTATCGATAACCGATAGAATTACAGAAGAGAACACAAACAGGGCCGGCGCAAAGCACAGGCGACATAGTTTGGGACGCCGATTTATAGGCGTGGAGTGAGGGGGGGGTGAGGAAATGCTCCAACTTTTTTTTTTCTCACAAGCCGTAACTAAAGTGTATTCTGCACTGAATTATTAACATTTTTAATTCACATGTGGGGCCAGTTGTACTGATTACCTTCGGCGCTGAGTATCCTTGAGTCCTGACTGAACACAAAACAATGCTTTCTAAAACGTAATGCTCCGGGTGAGTTTTCTCTGAGTTCCTTGCGTCAGCTGAACCATTATGGTTAATATTACCCGTGAATTTTTTTACAGAGTTCTTACACTGCATTCTATCAACGTTTTATTTAAGCTCGCAATAAGATGTAAATTTGATACGATTATAAGCGCTTGGTCTGTAAAGGGTGCTACGCATTTAGTTAGGACATTTTTCATCAAGGACATGAAACCAGTGTTTCGCACATCCAATTTAACGTATTTCTTTGAGTACCTAAGGAAAGGCATGAACTATACACATAAACATGGTTTAATGCAGTGTACACAGTGTCAGCCAACGAGATAATATACTGTTATAAGAAGTCGTTGGTGTCAGCGCTAGACCCTCTGTTTCTCGATGCAAGCTTTACGGTACCTAAATTCTGCCGCCCGGTGTGATCACTCCAGTGTCAACTGCTCTAACGTGGGCTCTGCGTGTATAATTAAGAGGCAGTTATGTTATGTGGTTTGTGGCCTGTAATTAAAAGCCTTACTTTATCTTACCTAATTCCATCTGCCCGTATCTTATTGCAGGCATAGTTTCATCGACACATTGAACTATAGAAGTTGTATTTTTTCCTGCGCTTCTATGTTCATTTTCAGTAACTAAGGTATGGCGTAAATATCAATTAAAAGGGTAACGCCACTGGTTGTGGTTATACATCTCAATGATTTTTGTTTCACCTGATATAGAAACTACCAGGATAAATTTTAGTCAATGATAATTACCAGTGATAGTTTCATCTAATATACAATCTGCCTTGGGTTCATTAAAATGACCTTGAAAGTAACATCTTAAGTAAACGTTATTCATCTTCGCTGTGTCTTCATTGGAAAGAAATCTCTCAATTAACGTTGCTTGCAATTTTTTTCCCGGAAAAAGTTTCAGAGTAAGTAACGATATACCAAAATGCATAAACGTCGAAGTAAAATAAGAAAAAATATCATTGTTTCCACAGGTATATCTTCTGCCTATTTTATACAACTAGTCATGAAGAATTAATGATGCTTTGAGTTAGTCGCTCTTTCGGTGTTCTGTTTTCAGAAAATACTGCCGAATTCGAGAGGTGACATACCTTCTACGCACTTGGGCATGGCCTATTATGACCATGAGACCATCTTGTTTGGTTGGGTGGGTCGGGCTGCGCCCACTTCTGATACTTCACATATATGTAGTGTATTAAGAGTTAAACAAATGATTACAAATTCAGAGCAAAAGATAGCTTTATTAAGAAGTTATGGCATTAAAAAGGTTACAAATCGGTCAGTAGTACAGCCACCTCTGATAACCATACAAGCCGAAACATGGCCTGGCAACGAAATCAGGTAGGTCACCTATGGCACCTTGCGGAAGATCATATCATAATCTGCAATTTGGCAATTAATTCACCAATATTCCAGGACAGCTGCAGTTGCCTTCCAAGCATGTTCCAAACCTAGTCTATTGATGGGAAGTCTGGTGACCTTGCAGCTCAAGGAAGTACGCCATATCCTTGAAGACAGTGTTGGAAGAGTCCCGCAGTATGTGGAGGAGCGTTGTTTTGCTGATAAATGGCACCTGGGCGACTTGATAGCATAGACAGTGCAATCGGCGTTAGAGGCCAATACGCTTATTCGACCAACCTGCTTCTCTGAGACCTACTAGAGCCCTACGGCACGAGCAATTATGCTTTTAAACTCCCCCAGCTGCTCACTACAGAGCGCACTTACACTTGTCTCATTTGAGTCGAAATTTAAATCATTTGCATATCTCTTATCAGACTACATTGCTGCCGAGTTTGGTGACTGTCTCTCGATTTCTTCTGGGTGCGTATATTTTTCTGTGACAGATTGTATTACCATACTATATGATATATGGGTTTTTTCCATACTATTGAAATGTTACCTTTTTGTAGTGTCTGCCTTTCATTTTATTAATTTTTTATGTGTCTGTGAAAATACAATGACATCAAACGCAATATAAAATTTTAACCAAACTATTGAATCAGTGGGATAGAAAGAAATAGCTAAATTCGCGCAGTTTCATTTGTCAGTTGATCATCACTGCACAAGTTAAGTCATTAGCATTCTGAAGCGGGACTAAATTAAGACCAAAGTAAGTATTAAATGCATTTATAAGGTATTTCTCTTGCCTTCTTAGCATGCCTTCGTGGTGTAGTGGTCAACACGCTCGATGCGTATTCGAGAAGTACATGGTTCGAGTCCCAGCGAGGGCATTGCTCATTTTTCATCTCTCCTGCTTTCAAAAAATACCTAATGTCTCTACGCATTTTCATTCCTGTTACCCGTAATGCGAACAGTAAATTAATGTAATCCACATACCGAAAAAAATCTGTTCATACTCGAAGATTATGGAGGAACAGGTTTAATGCTTTTCATAAGAATATAAAATGCGTTACCTATATATTGATAAACCTCATTAAAGGATGTGCGTTCGTTATTCATTTCAATCTTTTACGCTTCTACTTGAAAAATTAAAATATCGGTATTTAAGTTATACTTCCCACAAGTATCGCTTACTAAAGCGTATTATTTAAGAATATTTTTCTGGCAATTTATCGTTTTACAAAAATTATGTTAGCTTTCATTTTAGGCTCTTTTGCTGCTGAAGATTTAGCTAATAAAAGAATTTGATTACACTGTAGGCCCGCAGGTTTCGTGTCTAAGACGCCAGGGTTTAGGGCGCTCTGAAATCATCTTATAATTTCTTATGATATTTTTACGCCCCGGGAAACTAAGAAAAATGAACGTTAGGGGCCGCTGAATGTATGCTGTGAGCTATCCTCAGCAAGTCTTCATCGGGCCTTGGCTCTTAACACAACTGCTCCTTTTCTTTGAACAAATATAACATGTATACATTTAATATGAGTTTATAACATAATTTTCTTGTTATAAATTAAGAGAACGACATCTCGGAGTCAATAATTAAGAAAATAAGGTATGACTATGACCTTTTGAGGTAATAAGATATGACGATACTCAAATATAAAAGTAACAAACGTAATGCTGCATTCCTCGAGCGAATTGTCCAAGTCTCATTGAATGTTCATCTGGTCACATGACCAGACATTCCAGAAAATGAAAATTTATGAGGATAAGTCAGTCATTATGTGACTAAGAGCAGATGTTCTGTCCGAATAATGAATCACGGCGTCTGTTATATTACATTATTCACTTCAAGCCGTAAATTTGTCCACGATTTACCGCTTGGCTTGCTCTTCTCTGATCCTTTCTAGTAGGGACATCATATCCATGAGATTCAGGAGCTTTTCTTTATCGACATCTTCTTAGAACTGAGAGTAGGGAGAATAGAGTCTTACCCTTCATATGACCGCCGGGAAGATACATAGGAGTTACCTACGGGAGAAAAAGGATCATCAGTAGCAGCGACAATATACGAATTTGGCAATCACTGAGACAAATTAGAATAAGGACCATCAGTAGCAGGTGCATGAACTTAGAAGTATGATTCTTGTCAGCATTACTAAG